TTAGTCTTTAATTGTTCAATATCAACTTGGCAGGAAGTCTCCAGGGCAGTGTCCTAGGAACTTGGGCTTGTCTTTGCAATGTGTAATATATAATTTGTAATATATATATAAGATGTAATATATATAGTATATAATATATGATAGTATATGACATGTAATCTATAGTATATAATATATAATATGTAATATATAAAAAATTGTAACATATAATATGTAATATATAATATATAATAGCATATAATATGTTTTATATATATATATATATATATAATCTGGATAAAGGCAAAGATGTTATACTTATCAACTTTGCGGATGTTGCTATTGTTGCTACTGTTGCTGCTAATGCTGCTGTTGTCGATCCTTTGTTTTCAAAGAGGACCAATAACACAAAGTTGGGAGGGACAGCTCACATACTGAATGAAAGAGTTGGAATCCAAAAAGCTCTTGACAGGCTAGAACATTAGCTTGAATTGAATAAGATTTATTTCAATTGAGATAAATGTAAAGCCTTAGACTTGGGTTCAAAAATCAGTGTTGAAAGTAAATGAAAGAAGAAGGGTGCCTAAATTATGGTTTACATGAAAAAAAGATCTAGGGGTTTTGAGGCAGGGTCAGTACGAGTTAGCAGTATGATGTGGACACTAAGAAAAAGCTGGTATGATGTTGGGCAGCATTAAGAGCTTCCAGGATAGAATTTTGTCCTGGCCAGACTCCATCTGGAATATTATCTCCATTTCTGGACATCACATTTTAGGAAGGACATTCATAAGCTGGAGAATTCCAAAGAAGAGTGACCAGGATCATAAAGGGTCTAGAATCCACATCATCTGAAGGTCAGTTGAAGGAACAAGTGATGTTTTAACCTGGAGAAGAGAAGACTTGGAGGGTATGCAAGAATTTCAAGAGCCATCATGTGAAAGAGGAATTAGATTTCTTCTGTTTGGCCCCAGAAGGAAGAATCAGAAAAAGTGAGTGGAAATTGCAAAGAGACAAATTGCAAATTTGGGCTTTATATGAATGAAAGAAAAAAAAACAATTAAAGTTGTCTTTAAAATGGTACTGGCTACTTTGGGAGGTAGGAGGTTCTTCCATTTTGGAGGTCTTTGAGCTGAGGCTGCATGATCATTGTCAAGTAAGTGATAGTGGGGATTCATATTGGGGTATGAGGTGGAACAGATACGTGTCAAGGTCCCTTCCAAATCTAAAACATTATGATTCTATGATAGGCATGACTGTAAAAGAGTATGCCTAGTCATATAGAGAAAACAAGGAAAAAGATGGTAGAAAATGAGATTTTAGCTGAGATTTGAAGGAATCCAAGAAGTGGAGATAAGGAGTGAGAGCATTCCAGGCATGGAAGACAGTCGGTGAAAATGCATGGTGTTGGCAGATGGAGTATCTTTTGTGATGAAGAGCAAGGATGCCATTGGCACTGGATTTCAGAATATGTGAAGGGGAGTAAGGTGTAAGAAGTCTAGAAAAGTAGAAAGAAAGTGTGTTATGAAGGGCTTTAGAAGCCAAATAAAAAATTTTACACTTAATCCTGGAAACAATAGAGAAACATTGGAATTTATTGAATGGTGGAGGGTAGGGGTAGGGTTCAAGGGCATTATGTGACATGAATAGACTCATTCTTTTGGAAGATTACTTTGAAAGTTGAGCAAAGGATGGACTGGAGTAGGGAGAGACTTGAGGCAGGGAATTCAATCAGAAGTCCATTGTAATAGTCCAAGAATGAGATGATGAGGGCCTGCACCTGGAAATATCAGAAGAGAGAAAGGGGAGTATATAAAATGTTAGGAAGGCAGATATAACAGGACTTGGAAACAGATTGGATATGAGGAGTGAGAAAAAGTGAGGAGCTGAGTATGATACCTAGGTTGTGAGCCTGGGTGAGTAGGAGGATACTTTAGCAGTAGTTAGCAATTTAGGAAGAGGGGAAGGCTCTGGGGTGGGGTGGGAATAAATGTTCAGTTTTGAACATGTTGCATTTGAGATGTCTAATAGGCAGTTGGAAATAGGCAATGTGAAGGTCAGGAGAGAAGGGAAGGTGAAAGGAAAAACCATTATGATCAGATAAAGGAATTTCAGAGCTTGTAAACATGGAGGGGGAATGTATGTAGCTGAAGTAGGGTGGAAATAGGAAATGAGAAATGTAACAGTTAGGGAACTGAGAAGTTAGTTTATTTGAGTGAGTGTCAGTATGCATGTTGAAGTTCCTTAGAATGAGAGCAGGAGTTAGGAAGGAGAGAAAGACTATGAGACAGGAACTGAATTCATTAAGGAAGGAAGGAAAGTGTCCTGGAGGTCAGTCGATAACAGCTACCAGAATCTTGATTTGGTGATAAATGGATTGAATGAACCTCCAAGAAGAAAAAGGTCACTGAGTAATGGTAATAGAGAAGAGTCTGGAAGTGGCAATGAAGAGCAAGGAGTACTATCGCTCACCCACTATGAGTCAGGAGTGTGAGTTAAAATTCAAACAGAGTTGGAAAGGGTGACCAGGGAAACTGTATCATCAGGAGGGAGCCATGTCTCAGTGAGTACAAGATGGAAGGAGTGAAAAAGGAAAAGATTTAAGATAAATCAAGGACCACATTGGATAAGAAGGGTGGGTGGAGTGTAATCTGCATCAATGAAAGAATGAAACACATTGATGAGATCATAGATCTCTGGAGGTGCACAAAAGCCTGATTCAGTATGTAAAGAATCAAATAAAAATATTTATTAAATTCATACAGTGCACTCAGAGAGGCATCAGAGCAGAGTTGGCCTTGGCCTTGGAGTCAGATGTGGGTTCAAATCTTGCCTCTGACACAAATTATCTGGGCAAATCATTTGACTTCTTAGTGTCCTGGGCAATTCTCTAAGATAATGCTACAATCTGCATCAGGTGGAGAAAATTTTTATACCAGAGTTTCCCAAACTGAAATGTGAGGTGCTTGGGAGATAAGAAGATATACAGGGGAGGCTACTTGTCCATTGTCAAGTATGGTAAAAAAGCTTGCTTTTTTAATGTGTCACAAGGGATAGGTACAGGGACAGGGACTGAACCTTTAATTTTATTGGTATAGAGAACTTCCAGGTGGGAAACAAAATCTACTAATTCCCTAAACTAATGACCACCTTTCTTGCAAGGTCTTGGAGAGTTACCTAGAACAACAGAAGTTAAGGACAAGAAGGACTGAAAGTTTACCTGACACAGTCTTTTATTTGCATAAGAATGAGAGTCAACCTAAGACTATTTTATGGGGCTAAATCTCAGTGTGGTTCAACCTTATTTTACTCACCAAAGCAAAACTTGAGTTGACCTATATACAAGTATTTGTAATCATGAAGAAATCTGAGTAAGCATGCCAAAATCAACTCTTAATTTCATCAGGACCAACTAAAAAACATACAAGAATAAAGAAGATTAAGTACCTTTCTCCTTGGTAACTAAGAATTACAAACATTTTGTTGTAAAAATCACATCAAAATGATTAGGTCTCTCCCCTCCTCCCCATACTTGTGGTAGATGTGATTAACATAGTTTTAGAATCACAGAAAGTAAGAAAAGACCTTAACATCTAGTTCAAACCTTTTATTTTGATGCAGAAACTGACTGCCAAAGAAGTAGACTCATGCCCAAGGTTATATGGCTAATTAGTGATAATGGGCTAGATCCCAAAGACCTGACTCTCAGGCTAGCTCTTTCTACTATGTCCCACTTTCTCATAGGAACCACAGATCTTGTCTATAAGATTACAGAGGTGAAGAGAATCTCCTTATTATGTTCTTCGGTGGAATCCTTCCCACCAACAAACTGTACAGTTCTAGCCTATTCCTGTGGCTATTCCAATAATGTTGGCAACATATGGACAAGGGGGAGATTATGGAATATCCCATTTGCTGGTCGTTTGGTCAGTTCTCTTCCTCTCAGTCAAAGGCTGTGTCTTCCTTGGGCGCTATTAACTAAACTGGTTCTTTGGCTGTCTCCAGGCAAATCCAAAGCAAACCATTTCAGACTCAAAAAATCCAGTCTATCTGAATGTAGAATATCATGTAGACACTTTGGAATTCCACTGGCTCAGGACATAGATCCTTATCTGTCCCAGTTAGCCCCTGATTCTTCCCAGGATCAGTACTTTCGAAAAAACCCAAACAAATTCCTATCGAATTCTAAAATGGTTAACTCCCCTTGCTGATGGTGTCATGGAGTAAGGAGGTTGTCGCTGTGATTATTCAAAGTTCTCCTTTGCTGTCCAGGGTTGCATTGCTAGAGAATATTTAACAGGGGTTTTAGTGTTTCTACAGATGTTGAAAGGCTCAGACAAATATTGACCTAGGGGCACCACCACTTGCCTGAAGGAGAGAAAAATAAATCCTTTATGTAATAAAGAGTGCTTTTGCTGAAATTCTTCTAATATCTTTCATAATTTACCCTCCAGTGGGAGAAGGAAAACCTTTGACAACATTAGCTCCATGGTAACTAATATAATGATGACCACACTGATTTCCACAGGGTCTCTAAGGGACCTAATGCTTCTGATGATCCGTCTTTCTTCTGCAAAAGTTGCAAAGGACCTTCTGCCACTGAAGCTACAACCCTGCAGACACATGCCGGCCACGACTGGAGACAGCTGTTGAGAAACTGAGCCCAGGGCTTTTAGGCTATTGCTGGGGTGCTTCCTATGCTTCTACCCCCCCACCCTTTCAGCTCTGGTAGCAGCTCAGAGGCTCCAGTCATTGAAACTGAGGTTTGACGTCCCTCCCGAAGACCCCTGTGTGTGGGGGCTGGCCCCAGAAATCCGGATGAATGGTGCCCCCCAGAAGGCTACGGCAGACAGATGATTGTTATGTAGGCTCAGTCTCCGCGAGCCCCCTACCACCTGCTGAGCTTGACTTTGCGCGCCCCCTCCCCCAACTCCCGGGTCGGTCAGTCGGTCGGTCTTTCACCCTGCAAAGTTACGAAAGAGCGGCCCACCCCAGCGCTATAAAAGGGGCGGTGAGCCGCGCGCCTCCGCTTTGGCTCTGCAGTCGGCGGCAGCAACCCCGAGGATCAACCGGACGCTCAGGCTGAGCCGCACAGCATCTGAGCGAGTCTGTCTCGGAGCCTGCCCCGGCGCTCGCCTCCGAGAAACAGGGAGGCAGAAGGAGGAGAGGACAACCGTCTTGCTGACACCCCTTTCCCTTGTGCCCTCCAGGACGGACAGCAGGAGCAGGAGAATGCAACGGGCTTCGGCTCTCCTGCTGCTGCTGGCTCTGGGCGCCTGCAGAGCGGAGCGCGATTGCCGCGTGGACACCTTCCGAGTGATGGAAAACTTCGACAAGGCCCGAGTAGGTATCAGCACGGCCCCTGCGCCCAGCCCGTCCAGGACCCCGTCCAGGGCCTGGCCAGGCTCAGTGGGTCTTCTTCCTCCCCTGTGCCCCCGCCCTTTCTCCTTTACAGTTCTCCGGAACCTGGTACGCACTGGCCAAGAAGGACCCTGAGGGGCTCTTCCTGCAGGACAACATCGTCACCAAGTTCTCGGTGGAACCGGAGACTGGCAAGATGAAAGCCACAGCCAGGGGCAGAGTTCGACTTCTCAAGTTAGTGGCCCAGGAATAACTTTGCGCTTCCACTTCGCGGGGTCCGAGCTTGGCGCTCTTCCGCGCCAGCGGGACCTGCGCGGATCCTGGACACTGAGCCCCGAGCCCTGCGCCCTGAGCCCCGCGCCCTGCGCCCTGCGCCCTGCTCTCCGGCCGGCCGCTCCAGCGCTGGGGCCAAGGCACGCTTGTCTTAGACATCTGCACCGCGGTCCCCCGCCCCACCCCCCTACTCCGCTCCCGGTGCTGGGAGGTGGGGATGAGGGAATGGACAGAGAAGGGACCAGAGAGGAGGGTGCGTCGGCCGGTCTCGATTTACACTCCTTTTCTGGCCCCTTTGCAGTGACTGGAACGTGTGCGCAGATATGGTGGGCACTTTCACGGATACAGAGGACCCTGCCAAGTTCAAAATGAAGTACTGGGGAATGGCGTCCTTTCTCCAGAGAGGAAGTGAGTATTGACGTGGTTTCACACCCAGACATCCAGGATTTGTGGGGCAAAAATGTGTTTCTTCCCAGGCACCTCAGTACCCTGAGATACACTGTCTAAATATTGCTCCTTGGGGATAGGGTTGATAATAAGCCTAGGAATGGAAGTGGATGAAAACCTGAGAAGATGAATTGGCACGGTCTCTTAGGAGTGCTGGGGGATCTTTGAATTGTTCAGACTGTTTCCAGGACCCTTAATTCCAAACCAAGATAAAGTCTAGGTAGTCAGAGGAGGTGGCAGACTACTAGTGGGTGGTCTTCTTCCCCACCCATTACGTTTTTGAATATGCTAAAAATACAGATTTATCTGCTTATCTTGGGGAGTTTCATCCTGGTTTAGGGAGTCACCCAACAGTGTCTCAGAAAAATGCCTTAAATTGCATAGAACTTTACCATTTACTATGTGAATTCTCCTATATATCATCCCATTTGATATTAACAATTCCATGAGATAGTTAAAGCAGGCATTCTCCCCATTTTACAGATTTAAAAAGTGAGGCTTCTAAGAGTTAGAAGGACTTGCGGAAATCACACAGCTGGGAAATAAGAAAACTGGGATGCTGGCTCATATCTTATGATTCCAAGTTGAGAGGTCTTTATGTGTTAGCACCTCTGTTTTCCCCACTCCTTGCCTACTCCACTCAGGTAGTGATATAGGGAAAGGACAGGGAAGATAATCATTACTTCACCTGTTCTTTTTTTTTCCTTCTGTTTTTTCTCTTTAAAAACAGGCTTCATGTTGTCACAGCTGCATTTTCTTTAATGTGTTTTTCTATATATGCTGTTATCAGTGAGCCTTGAATTTAGGGGGCCTTGAATTAGCGGGTCTTGCTCAGTACTGAATGAAGAATCACCAAATCACAGACTTTCAGAATTGGAAAGGATCATAATGATTATTTAGACCAAATCATTCATTCATTCATTCATTCAGTGGTACAGTGAACAGACCTCTGGGTCTGGAGTCAGGAAGTTGTTATTTGGTCATATTCAACTCTTCATGACCCCATTTTTGGGGGTTTTCTTGGCAAAGATACCAGAGTAGTTTGCCATTTCCTTCTGTAGCTCATTTTACAGGAATGGAGGAAATGAGGAATTTCAAATCCAGAAATTGAGGAAATGGTGGCAAACAGAGTTAAGTAACTTGCCCAGGGTCACACAGTTATTAAGTGTCTGAGGTCAGATTTGAACTCAGGTCTTCCTGACTCCAGGCCCTGAACTCTATCCACTTTGCTGCCTGGCTATGCTAGGAATTAGGAAGACCTGAGTTCAAATTTAGCTTCAGACACTTAACTAGCTATGTGACCCTGGGCAAGTCACTTTATCTCTGTTTGACTTAGTTTCCTTAACTGTAAAATGGGGATAATGGCCCCAATGAGATAAACTTTGTCAACACTAAGTACACAGTGGGAACTATGTAAATGCTTATTCGCTTCTCTTCCCCACCAATATTTATTAATCATCTACTATATCTATTCATTAGGAGAAATACAGCATGATATTGGTGTCAGAGGACCTGGGTTCAAATCCCACTTTTGACACTCGAGCAAGACTTTCCGCGTCTATAAAAAGAGAGATTGGACTAGATGACCCTTGAGGTCCTTTCCTGATCTAGAACTGTGGTCATATGAGCCCATGTTTAACAATTGCATTGTTCTAGATGTTGGAACAGAAAAAAAATGCAATTGAAGATTGGGAGCTAACGAGCAACCTTAGGGATTATGGAACTCAACCGCCTCATTTTACAAGAGAGCTTGTGGGTGATAAGTAGCAGAGCCAACTCCTGTCTCCAGCGCCCTGTTCTTTCTGTTCTCCCTCAGCTGCCACGGACATGATTCTCAAGGCTTTTGTGATCAGTTCATTTGCCCCCTCACTTTGCCCATGAAGAAAGCTCAGCCCTGGAGGGTTAAGCGACTTGTCCAGGAGTAGGAAGTCTCTGAAGGGCGGACTAATGCTAGCATTGCCATTCTCCTCATTATCACTAAGCATTGTCCCGCTCAGGGAGGGAAGGGGAGATGGACATCCCAGACAAGTGCCACGTTAGAGGAGGTGAGGGCCACCCGTGGTGCTCAGTCAATTTCAGCTATTTGCACTCCCCATGATCTATGATCCTGTTCTGTTGACAATTCTTGGACATTGTCCCTTGGATGGATCTGCCTCTTACACATCGTGTCTTCCCTTTTCCTATAAAATGGGGACTTGGCTATGTGCCGTAGTAGATAGAGCACTGGGCCTGGTATCAGCAAGACAAGTTCAAATTCAGCCTCAGCACCTTCCTAGCTGTGGGATCCTGGGCAAGTCACTTAACCTCTGCCTGCCTCAGTTTCCTCAATTGTAAAATGGGTATATTAACAACATTTACCTTGCAGGGTTGTTGTGAGGGGCAAATAAGATAATATTTGTAAAGCACTTAGCTTGGCACATAGTAGGTGCAATATTCCCTTTCCTACCTAGCATCATTCTAGTACTCAAAGCTACTTTCCAGAGTAGATGTGTCTGGAACTTGTTTTTATAAATTACTGTATAGTAAGGTGGGGAAAGTACTGGCTTTAGAATCCAAGAATCTGAGTTTGAATCCCAGCTTTACCACTTACCCCCTGGGTGGCCTTGGACTGGACCCTTCACCTCTCCGTGCCTCAGTTTCCTCATCTATACATGAAGGGCATTGGAATAGACAGCCCCTGCGGTCCCTTTCAGTTTTGAAACTATACTCCTCAGGTGTCCATTGATTTACCCATACATGAGTTCCTAAAACTATGTATATCAAATTTTATCTTAGCAATGTTTTACATTTTTTTAAAAAGGAAATGCATTCCCACGAGGGAAAAGAAGTTTCATCACAAGGACTAATGGAAGCACACTAAAGCAGGAAAACTTTAAAGGGAAACATTTAAGGGAAAATGGAATTTTCTAATCAAACAATATTACTAAAAATGAATTATGACTACAAAACCTCAGCTGAGATATGACTGAAATCAGAAATTGTGGACACATAGTAATATAGAGAAAATGATGCAATCTGAATGACTTCATCATTAATTCCTTCTGACATTGGGAAGGTACCACCAGGCACCAGGAAATGTAAACAAATATAGAATCACAGATTGATAGAACTGGCAGGGATCTTAGAGATCATCTTTCTAGCTCAATTTCATCATTTTACAAAGGAGGAAACTGAGGACCAGAGAATTTTTAAAATTATTTTTGATCAGTGATGTGATTTGTCCAAGGCCATACAGCTAATTAGTAGCTATATTAGCACAAGGGATCTTAAACTGGGATTGGTGAACTTGTTTTTTTTAAAAAAATATTTTTGATAGCCATTTCAATGTAATTACTTTCCTTTGTAATTACGTGTGTTTTATTTTATGTATTTAAAAACATTATCCTGCTGAGGGCTCCAGAGGGCTCATCAGACTGTCAAAAGGGTCCCTGAAACCAAAAAAGTTAAGAACCCCCATAGTAGCATTTGAACCATGGAATTTGAATTCATTCTTAACACAGATGGTTCCCCTGTTTTCAAGCTGTCTGAACCCCCCTTCAGTTCCTGTGAACTTTTGTATGCTTCTGCTTCTACCCCCAAGAGTTTTATTTAGGTTTGGATTCTCCCAAACACTTTCTTTTTCTACTTACTGGAGAGAGCACTAGATTTGGTGTCAGAAAGACCTGAATTTGAGCTACTAACTTTGTGATGTTGGGAAGTCACTTAAACGAGCCCTAGTTTTTTCATCTGTAAAATGGGCATAAGAATGCTTGCCCAGTTTGCCTCATAGGATTTCTGTGAGGAGCAAATGAAATAAAATCTGTAAAATGCTTTATAAATTGTAAAGCTCCATAAAAATGTGAGGGACTTTTTTTTCTTAAATATCTTATTCATTTTATTTTTTTCCCTTAGGTAGCATGATATGGTGGGAAGAGCACTGGATTTGGAGTCAGATACCCTAGATGTAAATTCTGGCTCTTATACTTGCAGTTTGACCTTTGGCTAGTCAGGGCCTTTGACCTTTAGTTTATCATGGCCTCTGACCTTTAGCTTATCAGGGCCTCAATTTCTCCATCATCAAATTGTGGGAAGGGTGTTGACCTACATGATCTCTATAGACTCTTTTCATTTCTAAATTTTTTGATTCCCAAGATATTTAAAGGGAGGGGTATCGACAATCCTGAAGGAATTCATATGCTACTATTTAATCATAAAAATTCATTTATTTTAAAAGGAAAGTTGTGAAATGCCCCTTCTCCCCCCAAAAATCCCTATTTTGCATTTAAATATTTTTCCTTTAAATGAATAACTGCACCTTTCCCTCTGAGCTATATGTCCTCCTATAAATGGAGGACAAAGAACCTCCCTCTGTTCTGTCCCAAAGGCACCATGTTTCTATTGAATTGTGGCTGCAGTTTTAGGTGATGGGGGAGGGGGAAGGAGGGAGAACTTCAACCCTTCAAACATTCCAGCCTGACTGATTTAGATAATTGGGTTCAAAGTGTTTTCTTTGCCCTTTCTGGTCTTAATGCTTTTTATTTTCTACCAACCTTGTCCACATAGAGTCTGGAGTAAATCTGTTTGATAAATCAGAAAAAAATCTCAGTCACACTGTTTGTTGAATTGACTTCACTAGTTTTTGGGGGGAAGTGTGTTTTCTTGAAGGGGGAACCAAGAAAATGGCAGTGAGAGTAGCTAAACCAAATTATGTATATACCAGCTGATATCTTTCTTTTTTGGGTCCAAGGAAACCAGACTTTCCACCATCTAGGCCTTCTGTCAAGCTACCATTTGGGAATCAGTTCCCTGCATAGGGAGAATACTGGGACTTAGTACAGATGAGCATCATCAGCAAATAGAGGTTCAGTGGGTTGTGTAGGCCTGATTCTTCCTGAATATTAGTAAGATTATGGGCTTGGTCTTTGTCAGTGGGCCATGAGCAATTCTTCCACTGAAAACATTCCTATAAAGATGGGACTTTGATCAATAGTTGTTACTCTGGCATTATTTCTTAACACCATCACTGAGGTATTAAACTGAAAAGAAAGGGTCAGGGGAAGAGATGGGAAATGACTTTCCTTCTTTTCCTTAGAGAGGTGGGGAATAATGGATGCAGAATGTTGCTTGTAGTATCGGACATAGGAGCTGTGTTGACTGCTTTTTCTTAATCTTTGCTCTGTCCTGTAGAGACATTATGTTGTAGTGGGTGCAGAGATAGCTTTGGAAGGCCAGGAGTACCATCTCTGCTACATACTATCTGTGTGACCCCAATCAAGTTAATTAACCTCTTAGCGCTCTAGACAATTCTGAGACTACAAATTTCAAAGGCACTCATCTCCATTGGTAGGGGAAGCTTTCTCATCTGGGAGTTCCCTAAATCAATGAAATCACAAGTCTGGTACCCATCTCCTTCCCTTATTTCAAGAGAAGGCTTCTTGGTTGGGTAAGTGGATGGGGTGACATATCTAGGAATGACTATATTGTGAAAACAAAAAAGCATCAATAAAATTTTAATTAAAAAAAAGAAGGCTCATGGGGGGTGTGGTGGAGGAAACCCAAATACCCTCCCTCCTTTTAAAGTCAAGAACAGTCATAAATTTGACATAACTAAAAATGAAAATTCAAGTGAATTTTGGTCTCAGAATTTTGTATTCTCCAAGTTATTTGGGGAAATTCACAAGACACAGATCTGCTGAGTATTCAAGCCTGGAGAGCTTATCTAAGTAAAATGTCAAAGAAAAATGATCTTTACCTCCACAGGAAAAATCATAATCATTTATGAATCATTCTATGAAAGCCTTCAGGGCAGAGCAAAGGCAAATTCTCTGTAGGCCATGTAGGAGCATGGAAGGAAGTAGGACTCATTCTCGTGGTTTCTATTCTTGGTTCTGTGGCTGAGTAACTAACTGTGTGATCATAGGCCAGTCATTTAACAGGTGCCCACCAGCTCCTCCATTACTAAAGTGAAGGTAATTTTACTGCGCAGAAAGGTTTGGGATTTTAATTTGGAGAAAGTAGCCAAAAACATTTATTGAGTGCCTAATATATGTAAGCGTGTCATGGAAGACATTCAGTATTATAAGGTAGAGCCTTTAATCAAATTCTTTCTCCTTCCTTGCCTGGGGTAAGAAGCACAAAAAGGTGGGCTTTGTAACCAGGTCCTGGCTCATTCATTGGTTTCTTGATGACAGTGGATCAGGATAAGACCACAATTTCAGTCTAGAGGATTGCTGTGTGCAGCCCCTTGCTAAGACACCTTCATGTAGGCATAGATGGTGCCTAACCTTTGTCCTAGGTCAAATGTACAAGTGCCCTGGGACAAAAATTAAGGATCATCTATGTAGCTAACTCCCAGATCTACATACTCAGCCCCTGTGACTACCCTGGGCTTCAGTTCCACATATCTCCAATTGCCTGTTGGACCTTTTAAACTGGATGCATCAGAGACATCTAAAACTCAACATATCCAAAATGTAATTTACTATCTTTCCCTCAATACTCTCCCTTCTTCCATACTTCCCTTTTTCTGTTCTCTGCCTCAATATTCTTTCAGTCTCTTATATTTGTAGCATTGGTATTATTCTTGACTCTTCTTTTCTCTCACTTCACATGTCCAATCCATTGCCAAATGTTTACTTTTCGACCTCCACAATATCTCTTGCACATGACCCCTTCTTTCTACTCACACATCCACCATTTTAGTTTAGGCCCTCATCCTCTCTCATCTTGATTATTGCTAATTGATCTCACTGCCTCAAGTATCTCCCCTCTCTGGTCTTCTCTTCAAATTGCCACCAAAATGTCAGTCCCTTACTCAAATGACTCCACTGGCTCCCTATTACCTTTAGCCAGTAAACACTTATTAACAAACCTACACGTGCTAGGCTCTATGCTAAGCACTTTAGGATGAAGTATAAACCAGTTAGCTTTTAAAGCCCTTTGCAACCTGGTTTCAACCATCATCCCAGTTTCATTGGACATTGCTTTCTATCCATATTCTGTGATCCAGCCAAACAGGCCTTCTCTCTGCTTCTCATCCGTGACGAGCCATCTCCCATGCCTGGAATGCACTTTCTCTTCAGTTCTGCCTCACAGAATCCCTCCCTTTCAAGACACAGCTCAAACACCATCTTCTACATGAAGCATCTCTTGATCCCCCCAATTAGTGCCCTCTCTTTAACTACCTTGTAATTAACTTCTTTGCATTTCCTTATATAGGTACTCCTCTCCCCTCTTAGAATCTAAGATCCTTATGAGTATGGATTATTCCTTTCTTTGTTTTCCTAGTAATTGGCACAGAGCCTGGCACACAACCAGTGCTTAATAAATACTTGTTCATTGACTATCCATCCTAATGGCCCTTAAAGAATTCCTGGAGCATCCAGCTATCTCTGGGTACATCTAGCCAGTACCCAACATGCACGTCAGGAGCGAAATTAGGTTCCACTCCCCAACGAAGAGCAGGAGATAACAGTGATTCTGTATCATACATATCAGAGTACTGAGTTTGGTAAAAGCAGTGACTTGCTTGAGCTCTCCCCCAAATCCCTCCAAATATCTGTAAAAAATGGCTCTAAACAGAGTAGCGAGTTTATCAATTGTTAATATACTTTGTTGGCAGTAAGGTGGGGCAGTGGATAGAGTACCAGGCCTGGAGTCAGGAAGATCTGAGTTCAAACCTGGACTCAGACACTAGCTATGTGACCCTGTTTGCCTCAGTTCCTTATCTTTAAAATGGAGACACATTGGAGAAGGAAATGGCAAACCACTCTAGTATCTTTGCCAAGAAAACTCCAAATGGGGTCATAAAGAGTCACACATGACTGAACAGATTCAACAACAATAACAATGTAATGGAGTCAATACTCAATTATCTACAAATAGGCCAGACACATCGCTCTTTACCTAGGACAGATCCTGTTTGTAAGTTTTTATTGACATCATCACCCACTCTATTTGATTCTGAGATAACACTTCAATCATATGGGTTTGTGTTTATTGCTTACAGTATATAGCCCAGCAAAAACCTTTTCAACCTATATACTTCAAGGCATTTGAAGTAAAATTTAATTTTACTTTAATTGTGCTGAGTATGAAGCAAGGATAGCAACCCTAGAGAAACGCAAACTCTACTGAGGTTGCTCATTCACACCTGTATAAGGCAGGATGCTGATAGAAGTCATACATTTAGAGGTAGAAGGAACCTTACAGGTCATCTAGTCCCAGTTGAGGATACTGAGGCCCAGTAACTTGTTCAGGGTCACACAGATAAGTGGCAGAGGTGGGATTCAAACCCAGTTCTTTTAACCCAATTGGGAGAGGTAGGAGCCTTCAGGTACAGAATGGTGCTCTTTCCACTCTCATCCATTCTCAGCTTTAATGTGGGTGAGTCTGAAATGACACCACAGACGTCAGAGAAGGTGCTAAATTAGGCTATTTAGTGAGAATTTCTTCATATGAAATACTGTGATTTCCTGAAAGATTTTATCAGTATTAAATTGTAAATACTGAACCGTCTTAAACTGCCTTCATTCTATCTCATGTCCTCCTAATACATCTACTGTTATTGGCTTTGTTTCTTGGACGATCAAGTTGAGTGAGGCACCTACCTCCTATCTGAGCCAAGGGGAAAGGTCAGTAACATCTTTTGCAACTATACTGTAATTAATTGTTTTATACTTCCCTTTTGGGGGGAGATATTGACATTAGCCAAAGTCTTTGGGCTAATATCAACATTATACACACACAAATATTATATCAACATTTGTTCTTTATTTATTACATACACATCTAGGGAGGTCTCATCTATAGTTTAGGGCAACATATAATAAATTGAAAATGGAAGATAGCATCGTTATTAGAACCTATTATTAGGTTCATAGATAATTACTGAAGAAAATTATGTTATTCTTTGTTGTTTTAAATGAAGCAAAATAAGATCATTTCAGATTTTTTTTCAATTAAGCAAAATTATCTGAATTTTTCTTGGTCGTAAAATTTTCTGAACTTTTTTTTGCTGACTTCTGAGCTAACTGAACCAAATCCTATTCAGATTCTCCTAAGCCAGGTTAGCGTGCATCTGGAGAGGACTGATGTTGAGTACTATTCATTTTCAGGGCATCATCTTCTTAATCTCACTGTTGAACTTTGTTCCTCACAAGTACTTGACACCTTTATTTCTTTGATCCTAGATGATGACCACTGGATTGTGGATACTGATTATGATACCTACGCACTTCAGTACTCCTGCCGCCTCAAAAACCCTGATGGTACCTGTGCTGACAGCTACTCTTTCGTATTTTCTCGGGATCCTAATGGTTTACCCCTACGTGCTCAGAGAGTGATTAGGCAAAAGCAAGAAGAGCTCTGCTTAGGGAAGCAGTACCGGATGATAGTTCATGATGGTAAGTGTTTTTCCAACTCCTGGGTACATCTGACCAGTAATCAACAGGAGCTTCATGAGTTTGGTACAGTATTTATCTTGGTGAATTATGATGACATTCTTGACTTTTTCTACTACGCAGTGAGTTGATAGTGAAGCCTGTAAAGATAAATGTTATATAAATACAAGAAGAAAAGTGGGGTCTCCTTAGCCCTAAAAAATCCTAAGTCTAAATGTGAGGATTGAGTTTATCATTGTTTTATCTTCTCTATTGTCCTTTTCCTGGAGGGGCTCAAGGACTGGAAGGACACCAATACAACCAGCTGAAACACAAAAAAAAAAATCAGGTGTCTCACCTACCTACCATTGAATTGTCAAGGAGCACATTTGGCAATGATTTTCTTGTGGAAAATCTGGGAGAAATATCCCCAAATACCTGCCTTAGGAGAGGCTGTTGCTCATCATAGGTCTTCAAAAGAAGGCTAAATGATAACTTGTTGGGTCTGACCAAATGGCCTCAGATCCATTTCAACTCTAAAATTCTCTCAGCAACTATCCAATTTGGTAGAGCTGTCTGGGCATCAGGGAGACACAACTATTGTGCTGACAAACAAATGCATATATTTTATACAAAACACAAAAAGATTGAGAAAATATTTATATGGTAGCTGCCACAAAGAGGCTGAAATGTGAACATTTCAAACATTTATTTTTCCCTCTGAGGCCAAATAATAGTTTGTATTTTTTCTTCTTCTAAATAATCAGCTGATTTACTTACTTGCCTTCTTCCTTTTGGGGGGAGGAGGAGACATCCACTGATCTAATCACAGAACTCTTGCTGACTTTTGAGAGAAGAGGCACCATTTGGGTTGTGCATGTCCAACACCAAACATAGTGTCTTATGTGTAGCAGGCATTTGATAAGGCTTGTTGAGTTGCAAGCCAAGAGCACCACATGGAAGATGCTTCTAGTCGAAGGCTACTTGGCTGTCCTTGGCCAGTGCACAGATTTTGTATATATAAGTCCAAAAGCAGAACCATATTAACTTTATTTAGCATGCATCCCATGAAAACAAATACCCAGGCAAAATGCAAAAAACTGCCTGGGGCAGCATCCCAGCCCTCTAGCCTGCATAGCACCAGACATCCAGGTGTTTGCCATTTGGACACACATTAAGAAGGCACAGGTCTGGAGAAGTCATGGTTGAGAGGAGACATGCTCAAGATCGATCAAATCATGACTTGGTCACCAAATCCAGAAATATTGGGACATGGGATAAAGGGGCCCTCTTTGACACTGGAGAGATAATGACAGATAATTTTTTCTAGGAGTTTGCAGTGAAGGGAAGAAGTAGATGTATCTCCAGGGTGATACCTTGAGGGAACAGCAGGGACAAAGAAAAGCTGTTTAAGGATGGAGAGGAGCTGACAAATGCCAAGATATACCAACTCATAGGAGCAGGGATTGGCTCTGTGACTTCATTGGTATAGGGAGGTCCTAGGTGAGGAAACTCCCTCTACCAATCCGGGTGAGGACCATCTCTACAACTTAGACTTTCTGAGATTTTCGTAGAACATGGAGAGCTTAAGTGACTTGAACTGAGGAATCATGAAGCCAAGTTTTCTTACTAGTTTCCTATCCACCATGTACATCATGCTGCCTCCCAGTAGAAATTCAGAGATCACATAAACATAGGGAGCCCATGATGCCCTCTCCAACTCCCCACAGGCAAGCAGGAAACAGAAGAAGATTCAAAGAGGGTTTGGACAGATTTGAGTGGCAGAGTTACCTGTGGCAAGAAGAAGATGGAATATAGCTAAGTTGCTAAGATTGGTATTGAGGCTGTCTGTGGTGGCCACAGATTCTTGGGACCTTGACCTTGATCAATAATCCCGTGTTACCATTTGGAAACTCTAGATGATTATGTGAATTTTTCAGTTTTTATCCAGAGTGGTTTTTTGGTTTGTTTTTGTTTTTTTGCATCATGTAGACAAATGGTTCTCAAACTATTTTTTGCTTATGGCACAATATTATTCTTTGCCAAGAGGAATTACAATGTATTGTGGGAAAAGACAGGCTTACACAGGTCCATGCAATTTTAAGTTTAAGTTCCATACAATTCTCTGAACCCTTAGCCCAAACTCCTGGCATAGTAGGGTGCCACAACATATCCTTTGAGAGCCCTTGATGGAGAAAGATCAAAATCAAGATTTGAGGACATCATTTTCTAGATAATTAACTCAGAATGTCATCTACCTCTAAGTAATAACTTTGTTTGTTTGTTTTCTATTTCAGGCTACTGCGGTTAATAGAAACCCCAAGCAATGGAAACTCATTTTGTCACTACACCATGAATGTAGAGTTTCATTTAAAAACCTCAGAAAGACCCTCATACAACCTTCAGATCTATTTATCTGAGTTGCCTAGTTTGTTTCTGAAAAATAGAGAAATCTTTACCAAACCTAAATTTATAAAGGAATGCATGCTAGCTGTAATAAAATGTACATGTTTACTATCAATTTATTTTTAAAAATATTGAAGATAAAGATTCCAAAATGTTATAAAATGTAATCCTCCATTTACTCTTGTTCTGTTTTTTGTTACTGTGCAAATTAGAAGTACCCAGTTCTGTTCTATCCAAGCACAGGTGGTGTATATTTTGATTCATGTAAAGAAATTCTCAAGTATTGAAATTTCTGAGCTAGAGACCCCTATATGTGCCCCTCAAGAATGCTGAAGTCCCATACAAAATCCCATGTGAAAAGGGTTAATGGATTAGTTTCAACTCTAAGCCTGGTATAGTAGAGTACCAGATTTGTCTTTGGAGAACCTGGTTTTCAAATCTACCCCCACTACTTATTACCCTCTGGGCAAGTTAATCAACTTCCTGTGGTTGATTATTTCTTTACCACTAAAATAAGGGAGTTGGAATAATCCTCCAACTAACTCTAATGACTGTGGTCTGCACCCATTTCCTAAAACAGGATTTTCCTGTAATTAAGCAAGTGACCCTTAGTACTTCAGAGGTGGCTCCATGCCTCTGCCCAAATGGGAAGGCTAACCCCTTAGTCTACGGCAAGGCCTTTGTAGTTGAATGATAGAGTTCACTCATTCCCCTTTCATAGGTTTGGAGATTTAGAGTTGGAAGAAGCCATACAGTTCACCTTGCTCATTTTTTAGCTGTGGAAACTGAGCTCCAGGGAGGTTAGGAGCTCAAGGTCACCGGTGATGTCAAAGTTGAGTATCCAGCTCTTGACCTTAGAATTACTTCATTCTCCATCACAAGAAGTAAGTGGAAAAGCCTCCTTGCTTCTCTGTCCTATTCAAGTAAAACCCCAGTGTCCTCACAGAAAGTCATAATCTGTTCATCTGTTGAGCCCTGGTTTGGAAGTGGGTGCTAGCAGACTAGAGGGTAGGGGTGGGGAGGAACCGGCACTGTTTATATAAGGGTGAGGGTGTACTCCATCCTTCCCTATCTCCCTGGCATGTTGACAAATAAAGGATGACAGAATGGGCTAGGGCTGAATTTCAATGGTTTGAGAAAGGGTATGCTAAGGTGCCTAGGTTAGTGCTCTGCTCACAATAGATGTTCCTATGGTTTCAGGCAGACAGAATGGAACACTTGACCTCCAAGATTGATGCTGAAAGTCCTGTCTAAACAAAATTTCTGAGAAGCTCTGCTAGGCAAAGAACCATGCCATGGGTTGATATGCCAAGATGTATGAAAGGATATTGAGGGGCCTACAAAAGAGAAATACACCCAATGATGACTTAGTGGTCATCTGATTATTAGTGCCAATTTACCTGCTTTCTGAAAGGAAGAAATGTCTTCCTTTTCAATTTCTATACCATACTGTTCTAAAAGACACGAGCTAGTCTTCTTCACCTAGACACCTCCAAATCACAAAAGGAAATGCATAAGGCCTTTCACAAAACAGTTTTAATTTATTTTCAACTACATTTATATAAAAAGATTCCAACCCTTTTGTCATGGCTTCATACCCACAATGACTGTAGACCTTATTTCATTATTAGTCTGTTACACGGAAAATCCATTAGGAAAATTCCTGCGGGAAAGGGAAGGGGTGGGACCACAGTGACATCATGGTGACTTGGTCTGGCTTCTCAACTGGCAGTGAATTGAAAATACCTATGGACGTCTAAGATCCAGATGCATGTCATGTCCAGAACTTGGCTTTCTGGAGGCAGCCTCCAGTAAACTGAATCTAATCATTTCACACGCTGTCATTCCATACCCTCTACCATCCCTTTCCCTGACTGCAAAATTGCATTAAAGTTAATTATGCTTGAGGAAGTTCATGGAAAGTCCTGAGAAAACTGGAAATACCTTGAAGTAATCACTGGACTGGGGGAAGGAGGCAGAATGGTTGTCATGGGGTATTATAACACCCAGGGAAAGAGCTGTTTGAGCTGGTTTTGAATTCAAGAACACATGCATGTTACAAGCTTGGTACAGCCAGGAAGGTATGTCTTGTTGAGTTTAAATAGAGTTAATAAAAATTGGAGAAATTATGCATAAATTAGATAGTCAACATAAATCACATTTTGACCAACAGTCTTATTTTTAGTGCTCCAGGCAAATCACAAATTAAGAGGAACATGTGATGGATCCTTTTGTAAAGCAAAGAATATTTTGTTATGGTGAGTAAGCACCTACCCTCATTTAAAATTTCTGTAAAATTCATATAGTAAACTTTCTTAAAGGAGGACACACCTGTAATGAACGTCCTAGAAATTCACCACCACAAGAAAAATCTTGTTTTACGCACACTCAATAGTGAAACTAAACCCACTCTCATATAAACTACAGTCAAGCAATATGCATGTGGTGGTGGTGGTGGGGCGGCGGGGGTGGGGGGAGGTAAATGAGTCCATAACCACCTCCATCAGGAAAATTACAGCCAGTGAACTCATCAGCCAGTGACCACAGACAAGTCGTTTCTTCTCACGGAAGTGTCCGTAGCCATTCCGTTCTTCTCAGGAATCGACGAGCAGGAGAAAATGACTCTCCACCACTCCTTCTGAAAGTGGGAGGCACCGTACAGGGCGGGGTTGACTGCCGAGTTGGCAAATGTAAACACTACGATCCAGAAGAACAGGGATGGCCAAATCACCAGGTCCTGCTGGAAGTTCTGGATTAAGATCAAGAAGATGGTGACGATGATGGGGCTCCACATGATGAAAAACGAGGCCATGAGCACCAGGAGAGTTCGGAAGAGCTTATAGTCCTGTTGGGAGACCCGGACGTGGTGGTCTTCTGAGTAGGCCAGGCTAACGTTTAACCTTTTTCTGGAAGCTTTTAAAATCTGCAACATCGAATCAAGGCGTTAGGTAATGCTGAGTGAGAGTTGAGTCCTTTTTCCACTAAGGAATAGCCCCAAAGAGCTGGCCTTTGAAAATCATATTGCCCATGTTCTAAGAAACATGACCTTCTTGGAGAGACCTAGGAGAATGTTCTATCAGGGCTGTCAGACTCACAGCAGCCTGCAAAACTTAAAATGTCACTGGGGAGTGTTTAACAAAATAAATAAAAGTACAATACAACATAGATAATGTTAATTTGTGGTTTTCTAAGTCACCATGCAGGGCTGGCAGGGATCAGTTTCTCTCTGAGCCTGACACACCTGCTTGATGTCATCAATTAGTAATGCTGCTTATAGGGAAAGGGAAAAGGAAAGGGGAGAAAGGGGAACGGGAAAGGGGAGAAAGGAAAAGGAAGGAGTCCAAATTAGAAATAGAAGACAGTGTTGATTTAGTGAAAAAGAAAAAAGAAAGGTGAGTAGGGTCATTCTAGAAAATGGTCATCAGCTTATTTCCACTAAATACTATATTAAATTGTATCAGAAGAGTTCAGAACAGCATAGTGCAAAGGGAAGAATTCTGCATTTGCAGTCGGAGGACCTGAATCCAAATCCTGACTCCACTAGTGACTACCTGTGTGACACCAGCCTTCGTTTCCTTATCTGTTAAATGAGGATATATGGGGCCTTCAAAGTTCCCCTCTAGCTCTGCTCCTTCTATGGTCATCAAAGTGCATCACTTTTGTAATCATGTAATCATATCATTTCATGAAATTTTTTTCTCCCCAAAGACTCACCAAAGACTAAGACAATAAGGTAGAATATGAAGGAATTCAGAGAAACAGAGGAAGATAAGCATGAACTGGTGGAGAGTAGAATAAGCCGAACCAAAAAATGATACACGGGATGACAACAATCTCAATGAAATTATTACTAAAGGAAAGTGATCTAGGAGTGACTAAAAAACTGATAATGGTCCAGGAGATAACAAACATAACTCCCTCCTCTCTCAGCCCAGAGGCAGAAAAGAGAGAGACAGAGAGGTAGAGACAAAGAGACAGAGACAGAGAGATAGAGACAAACAGAAAGAAGAGAGACAGAAAGACAGAGACAAGAGAAAGAGACAGAAGGACAGAGGCATAGAGACAAAGAGACAGAGAGATAAAGAGAAGAGACAGAGACACAGAGATAGAGACAAACAGAAAGAAGAGAGACAGAAAGACAGAGACAAGAGAAAGTGACAGAAAGACAGAGACAGAGATATAGAGACAAAGAGACAGAGATAGAGACAGACAGAAACAGAGACAAAGAAAGAAGAGAAAAAGACAGGCAGAGAAAGAGAGATAAAGAGACAGAGATAAAGGCAGAGACAGAAGAGAAAGAGACAGAGGCAAAGAGAGAGACACATGGGGAGGGAGAGAGAAAGACACCCTTGGGGTCTTAATAATAACAATAGCTCTCATTCATATAGAGCTTTATGGTTACAAAACACTTTAAATATCCTCCCAACAACCCTGTAGTGTATGGCTAATGTAAGAATTAACTTCCCCAATTCACAGGTAAGGGAGGCAAGACTCTGCCTAGGTCACAAACCTAGTAAGTGCTAGAGAGTGGTCTTATTGCCAGGCCTTCTACCTCCACATTCAGAGCCCTCTCTCTCCTCTATATAATGGTACCTCCCCGTAGAATTGACAAGACTACAAGGGGTACCGAATCACCTAATGCCATAGGCATCATGTATAACAAATGCCACAATGGCTTTTTCTGAATAAGGACTGGCTAAAGTCTTAACATACTGTACAACCTACCATAATACCCTCCTTGGAATACCCTGAATTGAAATGGTCTTCATTTATTTGATGGGTTTGAATGTGAAAGATGGTATGCTTGTCCTGCTTGATCCCAAAGGATAGAATTATAGGGAGGTAGATTTGGGCACTAGAGGGAAAGACCTCCTACCAATGAAATCCCTTCCAAAGTATAATGGGCTGCCTTAAATGTGGAGGGAGTAACACAAGTTTGATGTAAGCTGGGCTGGTTTTTAAAAGGGGCAAAAAGGCAAGTTTGCTTCTTGGAGTATAAAAGGCCCAGCCTAGGAGGAGCTGGAGTTAGAAACTTCCTCTTGTTCTCGTGGGAATGCTTTCCTGGCTCTGTGTTGTGCTGGTACTGCAGGGAAAGCGGAGTGTTATTTTAACTTTATATTTTTAATGTACTATATATTTTATAACTTAAATTTTATATTTTAATATATAATGATATAATTTAATATATTTTATATTTTTGAACTTCTAATTGGTAAAGAATTGGTTTTTAGTTGGATTCTATGGTCCACAAGTGCTTATTAAGGCACATTTTAAAACTTGAACCTGAGTGATTGGGTTCAATCTCATTGAAGTTTGGCCTTCAATACTTGGGAAGTAGCAAGACCTCCGTTTACAGAGGTCTTCAGGTGGAGGCTGGATGACCATTTGTAAGGGATGTTGCATGTAGAGGGGAGTCTTTCACAGGGAGACTCAGGGCCAGCATGGTACAGTGGAAAGAGCCCAGGCCCTGGAGTCTAAGGTTCAGATCTGACCTCTGATGTTCGCTACCTGTGTGGCCCTGTGTATGTTATTCAGCCTCCCTCCCCAGGTTTTGGTTTCTTTATGTATAAAATGAGGAATCAGAGTAGGCAGCCTCAGGTCCCTTCTGATTCTCTAGGCCTGTGATCCTCGTCAGATCCCAGTTATTGGTAATGCACAAGAACAATGAACATACCTGTAAGATTTTGGAGTAACTGATCACAATAACCAGTCCCGGTACCAAAAAGTTAAAAATCGCAAACAACACATCCCAACAGATTTCTCCTTCGATGCTGGGCCATGCTAATGTACAAATCTGAACTTCCTATTGAAAAAGAACAAGGGGAAATTTCTGGATTAACTTTTTGCTCTTAATTCAATAAAAGGTGGTAACTTGCAAATGATTTCTTTCTGGTCTTTACAAAAGACCAGAAAATCACAGTGTGACAGGTCTAGGAAGGGTCTTAGAAATCACAATGTCTTTTTCCCTCATTTCATAGAAGAGAAAACTGAGGCCCACCAGCACCCCCTGAGAATATACAAACTGATAACACCTGGCAAAATTTCAGTAAAGGGATGGTTGGTGTGTCTTTAGAAAGGGAAGCAGTAAGCACTAAGTATCAGTATTGCTTATAGGATGGCAGGCAGATCAACTTAGAGCTGGAAAGGATCTCCAAGGTTATCTTCATCAATATCAAAGGAGACAGCACATTTGAAAATCTTTGGAAACATGAAAATGCTACATAAATGTCAGTTATGATGAATGGATCACCCAAGCTTGACCTCATTTCCTTTTTTGATGTGGTCACTAGAGCAGGGAACTGCTCAAGACAGGGTATACCAAGACTTCAGGAATGCATTTGACAAAGATTCTGATGCCGTCATTGCTGATCCAAGATGGAAAGATGTCAGGGAGATGTCACAGTCGGGTGGACTTGACATTGGTCGAAAAGTACTTAAGGTGTTACAGTCTGTTAGGATGCTGGACCAGATCCTGATGGAACAGAACTACAATATGGAATCTAATAATATGAAATCAAATAAATGTAAAGTCCTACACCTGGGTTAGCATAAGTCAACTCCAGAAGTACAAGATGGGGATGGCATGACTATATGAGTCCATACTAAAAAATGAGCTGAGGTTTTATTGGACTACAAATTCAGTAAGTTGACAATATGGTATTTTTTAGTTTAGCTTTTCAATCATTTTCAATCGTGTCCAATTCTTCATGACCCCATTTGGGGTTTTCTTGGCAAAGGTATTGGATTCACTAGCCATTTCCTTGTCCAACTCATTTTCCAGATGAAGAGCTGAGGCAAACAGGGTTAAATGATTTGCTCAAGGTCACACAGCTAGTAAGGATATGAGGCCAGATTTAAGCTCAGGTCCTCCTGACTCTAGGGTCAGCACTCTATCTGATGCACCACCTAGCTGCCCAAAATGGCAGCTTAAAAAACCTAATACAGTCTGGGGCTGCATCAACTAGTATCAAGAATGAAAGAGGTAACCATCTTGGTATACTCTACTCTGGCCAGACCATATCTGTTGTGCTGTGCTCATATCTGGGCTCAACACACTAGGAAGGGCATTAATTAACTGGAATGTGTCCAGAGGAAGACAACCAAGATGAGGAGGAATCAGGCCATATTAGAATTGGTTAAAGGAAAGAGGCATACTGAGTGGAGAACAGATGAAACTTGATTGTATTTGAAGGGCTGTCCTAGTGATAAAATTGTATTTGTTCCACCTATTTCCATGGAAAAATTGGTGCAAATTGTAGAAAGGCAGATTCAGGATTGATTGAAGTGTAGCAGAGGGAGTTAGTTTGATAACTGCTTTCCCCCAGCTCAGGTGATAATGATCTCAGAAAGTATTCAACAGTTAAGAGAGGCCAGGAGATCTTCAGATCTTAAAGTGTGAAGAAGGCAAGGTAGATAGAATGGGAGAGTAGCTAGTCAACAGGCTGGCAAAAGGTTTAGCCACACTCCTAGTGATCCTTAAAAAGCAAAGACATACCTGCTAGGGAAATAAAGCCCAGGCAGGAGATAGCCTTGTGAAGGAATGTGACTCTAAGAAGCAGAGAAGAGAGCCATCAATGGATTTAAGAGAAAATAGGCCCTATTGATTAGGAGTTGAGCTGAAGAGAGGTCCATGCCTAGGGAGCCCAGGTGGTCAATCTGCTTAGGGGAGACAGTGTACCCTGTGGGAGTCCTTTGAGGACATCATCACAAGACGAGAAAGGTCACTGAGCCCTGCAGGCCTGAGCCATGAGTTGGCAATATGTACTCCCCAAGTATGTTCCTCCTTACAAGTATATGTTGGTGTCCACTCTCCCCACTGATGCACTGTGAATTTGTGGGAGTGTGTACCCCAGGTTTATGGATGGGGGGGAACATTTTGTAGTTATTGTTCTTATGATGCCATCTCAGCAAATGCCTTTGCTCTTAGCTAAATGTGTCTATGAGCCAATTATTAAAGGGAAGTATACTGGCAGGGGCTCATGAGTTATAATTTTAGAAGTCTAGACCCCCCAAATACTTTGAACTTGTAGGAATAGTCATCCCCTTTGACCCAAGCTGAAACATGCAAGTACCTGACTGTGGAGGTATCCCCAAAGGATTGTTACACAAAATACTTCCTAGGCCACCACAGAAAGTAGTCAGTCTTGCCTCAATAGAAGTTGTCATATAAAGGGTGGATGATTACCTCTCGGAAATATTGTAGAAGAGAATTCTGTTCATGTTTGTAATGAAATGGATGGCCTCTGGGTTCCTTTCCAACTCTGAAGTTGAGGTTTTCCGAATGAGAAAAGCAGGAGTTTTCCAAAGAAAACATGTCACTGGGCTAGAACAATGGGCTGAAACTAACAAAGTGAAAGCTAATAAGAATAAATGAAAGACTTAGATTCCAGGTTCAACAAATCAATTGAACAAATACAGTATGGGGTGTGGGACAACAGGAACTGGGATGGAGGCAAGAACTAGGAGCATTTTGTGATCTGCATGCCCCGTGAATAAACAGTGTGGTGGCTTCCTGAAAAAGTAATCAATATAACCTTCATCTACATCGATAGAGAAGAATACTGTGTCTGGAAAAAGGAAGGCGCCACCCCACCGATCTCTGCACTGGTCACACCACATATGGAACATCTGTGTTCGGTTCTGGGCAAGACATGCTAAGACAATCACTGACAAACTAGAAGGTGGCAAGGAGGATGCTGGGCCTCCTAAGAGAAAGAAGATGAGAGCACCATCTTTGAATATTTGAAGGAAAGCAATATGGTATAGTAGATAGAATATTGTACTTGGAGTCAAGAAAACCTGTCCTGGATGCTTTTGAACTGTGTGGACTCAGGCAAGTCACCTAACCTCTTTCCCCATCTGTAAAATGGCATGACATTAATAGCATCTACATCAAAGGCTTGCTATGCAATCAAATGAGATAATATAGGTAAAATGCTTTGCACATTTAAACCTATCAGGATTGGTTATCATTCCCTAGATGAGGGAGTAGATTTATTCTGTACAGTTCTGAAGGTCAAAACTAGGGCAATCAGGTGGACATATGTTAGCTCCATCACAGTTAAGAATGTCTTAATAATTTTAAAGTTGTGAAAAAAAAATGAAATGGGCTCCCTATCACTGGAGGTGTCAGAGCTGACACTCCACCACTCATCAGAATGCTTTAGAAGGGACTCCTGCACTGGCAGGAGGTAGGTCAGACTAAATGGTTTCCCACTGTAAAACTCTTATGTGAGCCTATGGCTTAACTCTCTCACTATTGGAATAAAGTATATTTAGAGCAAAGGTATGTGCGTGTTAAGTTTTTTTTCCTTTTGAAGTTTATATGGCACATATAAATTATCAACACTATACTATACAGGTCAATTTAAGCAAAAAAAAAACAACAAGCTGGACATGTAGAAAGAACAAAGTCTTAACAGATTGACAGTCAGGAGACTTGGTTCCTAGTCCTGGCCAACAACTAACTACTCTTTCACTGTTTCCTGATCTGTAAAATGGGAAGTTAGAGTAGAAATTCAGGGGTTCTTTACCTGGGTCCGTGAACTTGTTTTTAAAGCTATTTTGATAATTATTTCAATATAAGTAGTTTCTCTTGTAATCCCATATATTTAATTTATGTCTTTAAGAACATAATTCTGAGAAGGGGCTCACCAGACTGCCAATGGGCCATGACACAGAAAAAAGTTAAGAAACCCCTGGTCTAGATGATCTGTTAGGTCCACTCTATTTCTGAATTACTAAAATTTCTCTAATTTTTATTATAACAAGGAGAATAACAACAATTCCTACTTATGTAGGCCTTTAAAGTTTAGAAAGTCCTTTTCTACAAATATTCTGAGACCAATTTGAGGCCTGACTTTTGTCCTACCTACCACTGGATTTCAATGACTCAGGAAGAGGTAGCGAGGCTGAGACTTGGCCTCACTTTAACCCAATTCACCTACAAGTCAAGATGTCACCCATGATGTCATTAGTCCTCAAAAACAAAGGACAAACAACATGAGACCCATTTAGGCAGATGAGAAAGATGTGAAATGATTTGCCCAGAGTCACATAGCAAACAGCATCTGAGACAGATATTTAAAGTCAGGCCTTCCTGACTCCAGGCTCAGCACTCCATCCACGAAAGCAACTAGATGCCTTAATGAAGGTCAGTGGCAGGACCTGAACCCAGCTCTTCTCTCGAAGTGAGCACCTTATCTACTATACTACGTTACGAACAAAGGGAATCTGAGAAAAATCACACGAGTGAGAAGCAAAGTGTGCTACAGGAAAGATAAGAAGACTAGCTAACTCACCCTGATTTTACAGATAAGGAAACTGAGTCCCAGGAAATGTTGTGTTCTACCCAAATTCACACAGGCCATACACACCATAGCTAACTTCAATTCAAACCAGATGATGGACAGTTAGGAAGAAACTGATGGAGAATTCCAATCTGCATCTTCCACAGACTACCCTTCCCAACCATATCACTGCTTTTTAATTCATGTTTGACCATGAAAAGAAAAGCATGGATGCCTCTCTGACCCTTCCCTAGTTCCTTTTTCCTATTCTCTTTTTTCCAGAATCCTCCTTTCTCTCCCTTCAAAGACAGGGAAGGGATAGGTATGGGGTGAGGTGAATGTGTCCCAAAAGGCAGGGAATGTCTTGAGTTTGAGATACCAATTGGACACCCAGGAGCTGATGTTCGGCAGGCAGCCGACATTAAGAGAGTAATTAAAACAGAAAGATTTGGGATTCACCAAGATGGAGACTAGAGGGATACCAGGAAGTCGGGATTCAAATCCCCCTCAGAAACTTCTTAGCTGTGGGACCAAGGGCTCTGAGCTTCAGTTTTTTCATCAGTAAAATAAGACTTAATAACCACTAGCCCCACTCTCACCCCCGGTGGAATGTTCCTGTTTCAGGTTTTTGTTTTTTGTCTTTCCATTTCTAAAGTCTAACCACTGGGTAGAGTGGCTGGCCCATAGTAGACATTTAATAAATGCTTGGTTAACTGAATTGAAAACTTTAAAGTGTGATTTAAATGTCAGGTGTTAAAATTATCTTCACAGAGAAGGGGCAGGTGAAATCACCATGGCAGCAGATGAGCTCACCAAAGCAGCGGTGTAGGGAGAGGAAAGAGAAGAAATGGGCCTAGGACATTTAATCTTTATATCTATCCCAACACAATGCTCTGTACACAATAGAGGCTTAATAAATACTTGGAGAATGAATGAATTTGAAAACCTGAAGTTACCCAGGTGATAGGGATTATAAACATTCCTCTAAAGTTAAAAGTCCAAAAAGAAATGCTAAAAATCCCTTATCCTTTTTAGAACCATTCCTTAAAGAGCAGACCCAGGAGAGATTGTTGTAATCTTAAAACATCACTTTTCTTTTCTTTTATTTCCTTAACACGTGGCGGGGGTGGTGTTGGGGCGCAGAGGAGGGAAGCCCAAGAAACAACAGGAAAAGGAACCAGTTCAGAAGTTTTATGAATCAATTTGATTTGTAAATCAATTTGGCCGAGTCTTCTAATTAATATCAGCACCAAAAATAATAGCTAGCAAAAGCTTTAAGACTAACAAAGTGTTTTGTTTTTGTTCTTTTACCTGTTAATGCAACTGATTAGAGGTGGTCCAGCTAAATATCACTACCTAATACAAGTGCTGGGCTCCAGACATTTCAGCGATATATGGGGTAAGCCGTTTAAGGTAAAATACACCAGGAGTGGTGGGTTTTGTTCTGTTTTTCAATTGTGCACTCAAGGAGTTTTGGCGAGAGGGAGAAGGGATCACCACTCATATCTCGGGAGACAACTACCAAAAAAAAAAACAAATTGAAAATATTTCTTAGTTTTGATTCATATTTTCAGAAACTTAGACTCATTCTTAACTAGATCTATTAGAAATGGAACCTGCAAATAAATGCATGAGAGCTCGATATTGGTTTAGATTGAGATTCTTAACCAAGAAACTATAAACTTTTTTTTAAAAAATGTTTTAATGATTGTATTTCAATATAATTAGTTCCCTTTTACTCCTATTGTTTTATTTGTTTAAAAACAGGATTCATAGGTTCAGGGGACTGCCAAAGAGAGTCAATAATATGCAGTAAGTTAAGGGCTTCTGGTTTAGCTGAACACACATCAGTTCCCCTAAATCACACGGGGCACCATTTCCTCTTCTCTCCACACCACCCCAGCAGGGGGATGGCCAGCTGGTGTATCCCCAAGTTCCTGGTTCTGTCATCTATTTGCACAGGCCCCGGGGTGGCAAGTGGAGGTGACCAGACCAAGTGCCTTCACGAATGTTGACCCTGCATTAAGGGCCAGGTCGGCTGCAGCCGGAGCCTGGCGAAGTATGGAAAGAGTGAACCTGCTGGGGTCCTACTATGCCAATCGGCACCTGAGGGGAAGATACACCCAGCCGTTTGTTCCCTAGGGCTTGCGCAAAATCCCATGAAGGATGTTACTGTTTGCTACGCGGTTCTCTCCCAAATAGCGAGGAAAACGGGACTCTGGGAGAGAGGCCGAGAATAGAGGAGGGAGCGAGGCGGCGGGTCTGGGCCAAAGACGGAGAGGGGCTGGCTCACTTTTTGCCCTTGTTTTACAGAACAGAAAGCCGAGGCGCGGGAGAAGTGACTTGCCCGGTCACACTCACGCAGGTGCACGAGATTCCAGAGCCAGGGTTCACACGCACCCAAATCCTCGGACAGACCTCGTGCTACCCCTTTTCTACTCCGGGTCAGACGGCACGGGCAGTGGCCTCGCACCCCTGCCGGGACCTCCCCGGATCCTCTCCTAGGCGGCCCCGAGGCGCGGCGGCGGCGCGTCCCCCTGGCGCTCACCTTGTCGCGGCCGTCGAGCGGCTGGGGGCGCACGGTGAAGAAGACGCCGAGGGGCAGCGAGGACAGGGCCCCGTAGATCCAGATGAGCCCCAGCAGGGCGGCGCGGGCGCGGGGCCTGAGACCCTGCGCGCTGTGCTGCATGCGCACGATGCACACCATGCGCTCCAGGCTGACAGCGGCCAGCGACAGGATGGTGACGCTTCCGCTCAGGCTCATCACGTAGAAGACCAGGTGGCAGGTTAGGTCGCCCAGCAGCCACTCCTCTGTCCAGCGCACGGCCAGCACTGGCGGGATGGCTGTGATGAAGAGCAGGTCGGCGCAGAAGAGGTTGAGCACCAGGCAGGCGGTGGTGCCCCGGCGGCGCTGGCGTGCCAGCAGCAGGATGGCGCACACATTGCCCACCAGGGACACCACGAAGATCAGGGCCAGCGCCACCGTCTCCACGACGCTCAGGGCCACCCGCTGGTCCCCCTTGAACTCTGAGAAGAAAGGGAAGAAGGTCCGGTTGGCCGGGTACACGCTCCTTGGCGAGGGCAGGGGCGGCGACGCTCCCGGGGCCGCCCAGGACACTGCTGGACCGTCCAGGAGCTGCGGCATTGCGCCTCGGGCCGCCCGCCGGCCCCGAGACGTCTGTCTGTGCGGGCTGCAATCATCTGGCAGACTGAGCCTGGCAGGAAAGAGGAAGGAGGCGGTTCTGACATCTCCCCTCCTGCCCCCTCCCAGGATCTAGGCATTTTACTGCTCCCCGTGGGCCCGGGAACGAGGAAGTGACTGGTGGGGGAGGGCTGGCAACACGCGACCTGGGCGGGGAGCCGGCGCCCGCTTCCCAGCTGTGGGGCTGTCGGTGCCCGGACATAAGGGGCAAGCCCCATGGGGTTCCACGCCCCTGGTCAGGCTGCCTTTGGAAAGGCCTGGCTGGGCTGAGCCCTTTTGAGGTTCCTCGCATCCCAGAGAGTGCCCAATTCCTGCCCCGGTGGGATAAAGTACATTAGTGGCTTATGGCTTTGCACCACTGGTGGTGCAGTTTGGGAGATCTGGGGTCAAATTCCACTTCTGATACTTACCGGTTGCGTGACCGGTAGGTAGGGGAAGCAAGTCGCTCAGCCTCTGTTTCCCCATTCGTAAAATGGGGGTTAATATCTGCACTATCTATTCAGAGAATTGTTGAAATTCAAATGAATAAATGTCTAATAATGTTTGCAAACTTGAATGTGTTTTATGTTTGTCAGCTGTTATCACTGATTACCCACCTACTCTTTCTTCTACTTACCCATTTAAAAATGTATTTCATTTTTATTCTGAATTTAACAGAAAAAAAACGAGTATTTCCATATACTTGCAGAACAGATGATAGTACTTTAAACTGTCTCCATTACCTACAGATTACTTTTCTTTAAGTTTATAATAAATGTAGCTTTCAAAGCTATCCTGCTTGTCTGTGATTGTTTCTGGGTTTCTTCCATTCTCTCTCTCTCTCTCTCTCTCTCTCTCTCTCTCTCTCTCTCTCTGTGTGTCTGTCTGTCTGTCTCTCTGTCTCTGTCTCTCTTTCCGGGGCAGGAAGGGCAGCTTTGACTGTATCCCAAAAACGTTCACTCCATTGAGCTTTCCTCTCCTCTAACTCCCCATTTTTTCAGCTACATACCTACTCACTCTGCCAGGTCAGATTTTACTGCTTCCCTAAAGATTTGTTTTTCCCTCTTTACCCACCATTCCCCTTCTATTTCTGAGTGTCTCCAAGTAGGTGTACATTTGTGTAACAAGTGGGTGGATACGCCTTTCTGTGAACTACCTGATGACCTATGCATCTCTCTGCATGTAGGTATATTTATGACAGTGTCTATTTAGTGTGCCTCAGATTGGCATTTTGAGAATCCAGAACTGATTCAGGATGTAGATTATGCCAACAGTGGGTGGACATTGGGGTGTCTGGGTTCAACAGAGAACCACTATGCATCCTGACCCAGTTTAAACATAGAGACCTTGGACCAGTGCTCCTCTGAGTATCTGTCAGTACATGTGAGTGATTATATGCATATCTCCTGGGTAAGAATGGGTGTGAAGGGGTAGAAAAATCACTAGGGACAAAGAATGGATCCATTCAGTATAAAGACATGCAGTCTAAGTCTGTCACATATGTGTGCATGCACACAGGTATGTGTGTGCACCTGTATTATATATGTATTATATGTATATGTGTGTTTATGTGTATGATGGTCAAGGGGTGTGTGTGTGTGTGTGTGTGTGCTCAATATCACAAAAGGATTAGAGAAAAGTGCTTCCAAGTGAGACTGAAAATGTGTCTTCTAACAAGGTGCCAGCACCCGTATCCCACCAGGATTGTTCATTGTTAGGATGGCTAAGCGAAACTTTGTCCTCACATTGTTAACCGATGTCCAGTCAATTCTGCCTCTATAACTCTCACACCCCCACCACCTCTCACCTGGACAATTTGAATATCCTCTTACTTGGCCCCCTAGCTTCCAGTCTCCCCCTCCTCTTACCCCCAAATGCATTCCCTCTGCATGTATCTTCCACTAGAAGGTAAGCATCTTGAGGATAGCTACTGTTCTATCCCCAGTGCCTAGGCAGTGCAATGTTTTTCACACAGCAGATCATTTTCACACAAAGATCATTTATTTTTGTTTTTTCTGCATATTTTCCCTCACTCTGTAACCTGTTTGTAACTTTAACTGTAGACATCACAGACTCCAGTTTGGGGAAGGTTGCCATTGAATTCAGTGACAGTGAGTTCAGGGGCAGTGACTGAGTAATGTCTCATTCAATTCAACATTGACTGAGCTTAGGAACAAGCAGAAAGGACCTGTGAAACAGTTCATTCAGCTCCCTCATTTTACAAATGAGGAAATTAAAGCTCATGTGGGTGAAGTGACGGCAGCTAGTGGTGGCCAGGACAGATCCCATGTCTCTCCACTCACACAACTTTCTCCACTTAGGATTTAGCAGTGGGGAAATTCCTTTGTCACCTAGAGTCTGTGCACAGTCTGCAGAAGAGATACAAGTAGAATATATTTGGGGAAAGGTAGTAATGATAATAATTGAACTTTACATAGCATTTTAAGGTTTGCAAACTGTTCCACGTATATGATCACATTTGATCCTCATAACAATCCTAGGAGATGGGTACTACAAGTATTCACCCTTTTATTTTATAGAAGAGGAAATTGAGGCTTAATGAGAGATTAAGTGGCTTCCCCAGGGTCATGAGGCTAGTGTTTGAAGTAGGATTTGAACCCAGGTCTTCCTGGCTCCAAGTCCATGAGATAAACTCATGGATGAGTTACACTGTTATTAAAACAAAAGTTTGTGCATAGTCATTTGGTATTCTCTGCTTTCCTCTTTGACTCATTCCACTATTAGATAAAGCACTGGGAATAGAGAATGGTTCTGTTCAGTATAAATATGTGTGGTCCAAGTCTGTCTGTCACTCTAAGGCATAAAGGGAAAAAAACACTGACCCCAGGGAAGGGAGAATATCGGTTTTGATCCTTGCTTTGCCGCTTATCACAGGTGTGACTGGAACATTATTTCATTTCTGTAGGCCTCAGTTTTCTCACTTGTCAAATCAGGGGTTGGACTAGATGAATGCTAAGGTCCTGTTCAACTCAATATCTATGATCCTGTGAGATGAATAGTGTTATTAGGTGATTTTTCTAAAGGAGTTTCTATTTTCAACCAAATGGGGACAAAATCCAATTTGAGTTGATAAGAACTTCTTGTTTCTTGTTTGGAAAAATACTAAAATTACAAAAATTTTTATTCAATGAGAAGTCAAATTGTTAAAGATATTTTATTTTTTCTCCCCGATTACATGTAAAAAACTATTTTTATCATTTGTTATTTTTTTTAAGTTTTGAGTTCCAAATTGTATCCCTTCTTCTTTCCTAGAGAGTAAGCAATTTGATATTGGTTATATATGTGTAACTGTGTAAAACATTTCCATATTAGTCATTTTGTCCAAGAAGACTTGAGAAAGAAAGAGGGAGGAAGGAAGGAAGGAAGAAAAGAAAAAAGGAAGAAAGAAAAGAAAAAGAGAAAAATAGTATGCTTCAGTCTGTATTCAGATAACATCAGTTCTTTCTCTGGAGACAGAGCACTCTTCATCAATGAGTCCTCTGGGACTGTCTTGGATCATTGTTATTGCTGAGAATATTTAAGTCATTCACAATTCAAGAAGTGAAATGTTGATATCTTATGATCAAGTTGTACTGATGGGGAAGAGTCTTGGAAATAATTGTGGTTCAAAGACAAAAGTTAAAAAAGGAAACTAGATTAACTCAAAATGAGTAATAGTTCAATTCTGAATCATGTCTGGCCAAATGTATTTCTTGAACTACAAGTGTTTCAAAAATTATAGATGTATTTGTGTACGTACACACACATATCTATATATAGTAGACACCAAAGTACTGTCATTCAACAATCTTTAAATACATATTTGTTCATTTCCAACCAGTTATTTTTCAAAAAATAACCGCACATCAGCAAAAATTATAAACATAGTCAATAGACATTTATCAAGCACCTATTATGTGCCAAGCAATGTGCTAAGTGCTGGAGATACAAATAAGACAAAGAAGGTCACGGGGCAGTTAGGTGGCTCAGTAGATAGAGCAAAGACCTTGGAGTCAGGAGGACCTGAGTTCAAATTCAGCCTCAGACACATGACACTTACTAGCTGTGTGACCCTGGGCAAGTCACTTAACCCCAGTTGCCTCACCAAAAAGAAAAAAAAAAGAAAAGAAAAGAAAAAGAAGAAAGCCTGGCTTCAAGGAGCTTACACTCTAATGGGAAAAGACAATGCATAAAAAGAAGCTGAAAAGGGGGAGAGGGGGAAGGAACCCACCAGAGGGTATCCAGCCGAGGCGTGATGTTGATTGAGTTGAAACCAAGTTGAGTAACTGATATGAAAATCATTAAGATGCTTGAAAATTCTGAGGCCCTCATTAGACTGTGTGCTCCTTGAAGGCCGGGCCTGTCTTTTGCCTTTCTGTATATTCCCAGAGCTTAGCACGGTGACTGGTTCATAGCAGGAAATTTAATACCCTTGTTCCCTTCCCTTGATCTTAAATGTGGCTCTGAAAAGTAGCTACATCCTGCCCCCTGGTGGTAGTTGCTGCCAGTACACTCACCTTAGCATTTTTCGTCCCTAGGGCAGCTCCCTCTTTTTGTCTGTTGCCTGATGATAGCCTCTTAGCTAAACAGGACATCAGTGAGGCTTCATGACCATAAGACCTAAAAGGAAACTGACGCATGCGGTTCCTGTTTTAAAAGCTGAAATTGATGAACATGATGTACATAGTCTTTGATCTTTACTCTTTAGTTGATCCAAACCTCTCAACAGGAACCCTTGCTTTAGTCTAGACAAGAAAGATGGTAGCAGAGGTAGCTGCCTGTGCAGGGCTTGTAACTGGCTGGTTGTGGCAGAAGAGGAAGGCATTTGGTATTGCTGCAGGTGGGAAGGGACTAGTCCTAGATGCTTCTCTTTCTGGCCAGTTTTTCTCTGCCAAAAAGGGTTCTCATTTCTCTCTCTCTTCCTCTGTTTCTCTGTCTCTCTCTGTGTGAGATTCTCTCTCTGTCTGATTCTGTCTCTTTCTTTGTCTCTGTCTCTCATCATGTTCAGTTTCAAACACATCTTTTCTAGCTCTCTGTGACCTTT